CAAGAAACCAACATTATACATTTCTCAAAAAGGATGAAAGAGAGTGGATCACATGCTCCACTGAAACAAGGAGACACTGTGAGGTAAGCATACTTAAAACACTTAAAGAATATTTTGATGTTTTCTTTGGACCAAAGAGAATTGGAGAAAGCCAACGACTAAGAGATAATTCCCCTTTTCACCAACTGTGCTATAACATCTCAGTTTGCATCTCAAAATGAGCCTCTCCTAAAGCAAAAACAGATTAATCATAAGAGGGAAAGTTCTGTTTGTTTGCTTTAAAAATCCATTTAAGATACTGCAAACATCTATAAAGAAATGTTACCAAAATGAAGTAGCCACATAAACTCCACATGCAAGAAGTCAGAGACCAGCAACAAATCAAAAGGGACTTTTTAACCCAAAAATTTTAACTCCAGAAAAAGCTCTTAAAAATGTACGTGATATTACACAAGCACTCTATATGACAAAAAGCAAATGAGAAATCAAAACTGAAAAGGAAATCAGAAAGATATAGGTGATAGTTATCTTGTTAATGAACTTACCAGGTCCAACATTACACAGGTTTTCCAAATCTTAAATGACAATGTCTCAGAAAAGAAATTTTTAAATCAAACCAAGTGTATAGTGTACTTCAGGATGGGCTTAAATAAAGCATATGTATGCTGATTTTGGCTGGCATAGAGTTAATTTCCTCATACTGGGTAGTATGGGGCTGTGTTTTGGATTTGTGCTGAACACAGTGATGATAATATAGAGATGTTTTTGTTACTGCTGAGCAGTGCTTACACAGAACCAACGGCTTTTCCTCTTCTTGTACTGGCACACTCGGGAGGATACTAGGGGTCTATAGGAAATTGGGTGGAGACACAGCCAGGACACCTGACTCCTAACTGACCAAAGAGAGATTCCATACTAAAAGGCATTATGCTTAGTATATAAAGTGAGGGGGAAGAAGGAGGTAGGGGACATTTGTAGCAATGGCGTTTGTCTTCTCAAGTAACTTATGCCCTGTTCTCCTGGAGATGGCTGAACACCTGCCTGCCCCTGGGAAGCAGTGAATTAATTGCTTGTTCTGTTTTTCTTGCATGTGCAGCTTTTGCTTTACCTATTAGACTGTACCTCAACTCATGGGTCTTCTTGCTTTTACTTTTCCAGTTCTCTCCCTCACCCCTGTGGTGGGGAAGGGAACAAGCGGCTGCATGGTGCTTGGTTGCTGGATGGGGTTAAACCATGATAATATGTTATAAACAACATCTGAGGTTACTACAGGATTTTGCCAGAAGCTAAAATGTAAGCTGTCTCATCTCATAGCTTAGGTGAAGTTATGATACCACAGCTGCAGGGTACGTGGAAGGAAAGCTTGATCAGACTGACAACAGGATTCCTGTGAAGACAAGGAGCTAAAATGAAGCTTACGTTTCCTTCTGTCATACCGCACACAACATAGCATTAATTGTTGAGGAATACATTTCACAGTGTGCAGCTGCAGTGTAAGCAGGCCATGAACTGCTGACCCTTGCATAACAAAGGGTACTGGGACCAGACACTCAGACACACAGCAGGAGCCGATGACCCATAGACTTTTGGACTGTAAGGGTATAAAAGCCCAGGGTTTCCTTGTTTGGGATCCTCCCTCCTTGCAGGCACCCAGCTCAAGCTGTTATTTTGTGATTTACTTATAGCACCAAGATTAAATAACTTTAAAGATCAGGATGTCTGATACTCTGCCATGAGAAATCTAGGGTCAAGCTGGTAAGGAAACCCGGTCTGACTGTGAGTGTGGGGTGTGTAGCTGTGAAGGGACCTCGGTCCTAGTTCAGGTGATGCGAGTGTGACCGTCAGACTGGCTCCTCAGTGGTTGGACAAGGGAAGTTTCCTGAACATAATACTGCCTGTTACAATGAAGGATATTCAGTCCTTTGAGAAGACAACAGCAAGATGCTGGTCTTCTCATAAAGAATGTTGTGCTCCTCTTTTGTTATGACTGTCAGTGGTGCCATTTATCAACTAATAGCTATGATTAATGCTGGTATTTCTAGCCACATAAGTATAGCTTTAATCTACCCCCTATTCCTCTGAGAATGTTGTGGTATCTCTTTTTATAAATTTGGGGAAGAAAAATTGTGCAGAACATGCATGACAAGAGAATTCAGCTTTGAATTCTAAAACTGCAATACAATCAGCAGCAGGTTTCCAAAAAAGTTATGTGAAACTGCAGTTCAAAAACTGAAAAACAAAAAGCTAAAACTGAACTGAAATTCAAGTTCAAGTATTATTTGAGAGTGAAATTCACAGTACTTGCAAAACATTCAACTGTCAGACTTAAGCAGAGGATCTGAGAAAGATTTTGGAAGAATGGGGTGTTAGGCGCTGTTACAGACTTATAGTGTAAGACTCCTTTGAGACAGTCCTGGAATAAATATTCCAAGATGTGTTAATATATATCACATCTGTTTCAGTAGCTCCATTTAGCATTTGAATATACATTGTTACACAGTCCCTTCTGCGGACTGTCCTCTAATCACTTTCTGTGTTGTAATCTCTGCTATAAGCATTGCTGCGGCATGCTAGCAGTGCCACAGAAACACTGATACTGGCCCAGAGCAAAGGTCCTGTGAGTTCAGTCCTTTGTCTCTAAGAGGGCTGTAAGCAGATGCTAATGGAAAAACAAGAGGACATGTACATATACTATATCCTTCCAATGCCCTCCTAGGCATCAAGAATTTGCAGCACAGACCTGAGTGAGATGTGTTTTCTGGGCATTTCAATGTCTTTTGTGGATTTTTCTTCCGTGAACTCACTAAATCTCCTCTGCACCCACATAAACTTCCAGTAAGAAACCAGTTTTACATGCCCAGTTTCTTAGTGAAACACCACCAGATATGTTAATCACCAGTGATATATTAAACAATGAATTAAAAAAAGCTGCTATTATAGTTAAAAAATTTAGACAAAACTGACTACCCAAATCAAGCCCCTTTCTGTGCACTTCCTATTGAGCTGCCATCTGAATCCACTAAGTGCCTGACTAATGTGTGTAAAGTCTCCTCAATTCAAATGCTGCAGGTGCTCCTAAAAACTCACTCCAGGTAGCTCCATAAAGGAAAATAAGTAGAAACACAGTGGATGGCAGCCAGGGCATTCAGTCATGAGTGAATGGGTCCTAGCTTGATGTCCTAGTACCAAGTGCAATTTCTGTATTTTGCCCTTAAGAAACAAAAGCTCAGTCCTGGAGGCCCAAACCCAGTGGAGATCTTAAACCTTCAATGCAGGAGGGAGCACATCTGTAGTTCCCACCTGGTCTGAAGGAAGTTCTATACTTCACTGAAGTGCAATGCACACACTCCTTCCGGACAAGCTTGCAGTGCCTCCGTAAAACACTCCCTTGGTTGGTTAAGATGGGAGTGCTGAGCTTTTTCAAGGACAAAAAAAAATTCAGAAAGGGAGCAAAAAATAATCCATGCATCTTGTTTTTTGCTAAGTTTTCAAGTTACAAGACTACTCTGTGATTCCACAGCCCAACAACCTTCCCCTGTACCTCTTCAAAAGGAGAACCAGTACTTGCTCAGCCTTCTGGAAGGTTATAGGTGTATTCTATCCAAAGCAAATTACTGTCTCTGAAACAGGATGTGAGAAGACTGCAACCCTTGATTCTGGGCTCTAGGAATAATAAGTACTGAGAAAATACCACTCTTGCCATGTTGCCTCCCAGTTAGCTTTCAGAGGTTTCCTTGCTGCTGAAGCAGCAGCTTTCTGAAATTACCTTTTAAAGCACTTGACATTTTATACGGCACCTGGTATTTCCACCTCGGGAATCAGATCTCCTGTTCTTTATTTAGTCTAGACCTAAACTCTTGTATTGTGGGAGAAAAAAGTACATATGTCTTCCTTGCATATGAATAATCATGTTTACATTCAAATTTTTATCCACTTATAAATAATATGAATAATGGATGTGACTTAATTTCAACAGATCATTCAAAAACTGGGGAAATCTCTCTAGCTCATGCAACAGAAACATTTGAGTGTCTGTGTTTAACGAATTTCAAGCAAAGCTTGACAGAATACCGATATATCTAGAGGAAGAAAAGTTTATTCTTGCAATGGTGAGTGTATCAAAATTTCAGCTTCATGACATAAGTATCAGTGGAGTAATTTCCTATTCATGTAAACAGCTGTCTAGGTTTCTACTACCATATCTGAGATCTGAAAGCAGTCATATAACTTTATCAGGTAAGCATGGAAAGGTCCTGTGCAATACTACTTATTTTAAATATTTATTATGGCTTCTTTCTCACAGGAAATGTATTACAGGTAATCCAAATATGTTGTTAATCAGATTTATCATGCTTATATCGCTGTTCAGAAAGGGGATTACTGACTTACCTAATATTAAATATGAGCTGCAGTTGTATGGACAACAGAGTTATATGCAACAAAGACACCTCTTAGGAATCCTTTCTAAATCTGAACTATGTGCGTGGTACATGTCTGAGAGCAGACTGAAAAATGCTAATATAAGATTGGCAGAGTGACGAACAGGCAAAGCCTGGACACATCCAATACAGGGATTTTACTGGTTTTGTCTTTAAACACAGCTCCGGTGTTTATCAATTAAGCAGTCAAGGAATAAAATAAACAGCAAGACAGCACAGGTGCAAGCAGGACAGCACAAAGCTACATGGTTAAAATAAATCTACTGACCTTTTCTTAGTTTGAAATATTCAAAAAAGAGAGGAAAATTGTCTAGCACAAGTATTAAACCAATATTAGTTAAATCTTATTACTCCACCTGTGTGGGGTTAACTGGCCCTAGCTCCTTTCACTTCATGCTCTTGAGTCGAAGAACTTCTACAGAGTTTGAAGCTGAGTTGAACTGAGCTTCAACTTGAACTTATAACTCAAACCTTAACTGTAATTTTAATACCCTCATATAAATTTACATAATGAACATGTAGCTTCCCAATCACTATGGCAGTGATTAACAGCACACTTACCGCCACGGTCCCGGGCAGCTAGATTTTGTCCTCTTCTTAGAGTAACATCCAACTGGTACATTCCAGGGTCCCCAGAGGGAAAATCTGCATTACTTATTCCAACCAAATTTGTTCTCTGCAGAGGGTGGAAATAAAAACAGGATAACTGATGTTACTAAAAGTTTCATGTAAGGTATGCACATATGTATTATGTATCACCATCCTACTGAACTAAGACAAGGCCATATCCCATTCCCCCACCTCAGAGCTAATATCCAGCATCAAGGAATCTGCCCATCTCATCAGTATGACAATTCCTGAGATTCACTTTTTTTTTTTAACAAAAACAACAAACAACACCAGAAAAATAAACCGGTTGACAATTGATAGTTAAATATGTTATTTTAAAAATGTGGTTGAAAAAATAATTCTTTGATATACAGGAGCTGAAACTAAGGTCTTTAAAGTCCCTTCCAACCCAAATCATTTGATGATTCTATGAACCTCCACTTTTAATTACATTCACATACAGTCCTGGCCCACTAAAGCAAAATAGGTAAGAAAAAAAAGCTAGACCTTACGGTACTATTTGGACTAGTCATCACCGGTACCCTCAAATCCTGTGTTTATCCAACAGTGTTAATCTATGCACTGAATAAATATATATGAATGAAGATTTTGTCAGCTACTGCAGTACTTTGGGGTTTTTCCCCAAAGTTCTGGGGGAAGCTGTGAGGGGAAAAAGATCATAAAAGACATTAAATGCAGCTGCAGCTCTGCATTCCAGGACAACCACTCTTAGATTAGTTATTTGTATAAAATGTATCAGTAAAAAAAACCCCAACCAAACCAATAAAGGAAGTCAGAATGCAAGGAACTCTCTGCACCTCCAGACTGCATGAACAGTAACCACATTTCTGTCCCATAGGACAGAGTAGAGAAACTGTATTTCTTAGTACACATAAGCTTTTGCAAAATAGTTTTTAACACATCTCTCTGTCAGTAGAATCTAATTACAGTGTGTGCTTGGAACACTACATTTTATTTTAAGACTAGAACAACTATATCAATTATACATTCACAGTACATACAGAAGCTTTATCTTTTCCAATGAACATCATACACATATGCTCAAGCCAGGAGCTAAATCTTTTAAAAGCAGTGCTATTAATATTTTATTATGTGATTACGGGTCCTCTGCAAGGGAAAAAAAAAGCAGCATGATAGAAATATCACAGAGACCACATGGGTACCAAGTGCTATACTATTTCAAAAAGAAACAAGTTTTGTCTTCTTTCTTCCTATTAAACTCTTTTTTCTTATTAAGATAATAATGAAACTACAGCACAAAGGCAGGCACAAAATAAAGGCCTCAACAGATGGCTTATTCTCATTATTCCAGAGTCATAACTCTGAGCCCTAACATATTTAACCTTTGCTGCCACACATACAGTGCTGGCCAAATCGCACACCGATATGCTCATTATTTCCACAGCAATGAAATTTTTTCAACACTAGTGCATTTCAAAGAAAATGGTTAGATAAGCTTTGATTTGGTGGGGGGGTTGTTCTTGAAATCTAGCAACATTTATCTTTTAATTTTGGCCTTGTAAAGTAACTGATGAGGCATGCCTGAAAATATCAAAAGACCTTGCAAGACTCTTGCAGAAGGCAGCCACCAGCTTCTTTTAAATTACTAACTCCTCACTTACCATCTCTTTTATTCATTCTTTTTTTTTAATGCACTGTCTGCAGGATACAAGACTGACAACAGTGACCCCACTCCTGCAATGCTTAGTATCTAGTCCAGTCAGAAATAAGGAAAAACCTGCATAATGGCCCCAGCCTCATCCACGACCGCAGCATTTATCACGGTATTATGAAATGAAGAAATGTGTTCTGCAGTAACAATAAAACCTAAAACTTTCCTTCCCCTTTCTTGCCCTTCTACAAGAATTTGCAGTCACAAAAGAAACATGATGTCTCCCAACATTCATATTCTTCCTTACTGAGTCTCCCTCTCTCTTCCCCTCTGACGTAGAACACAAGCTCTACATTAAACTTCCTTGGTTTAAACATGTTGTTTCCTTTTCCACTTCTCACATATTTTTCAATATTTTTCCTTCTTTTTTTCTTGCAACAGTTTTTAGCCTCAAGGCTTTTTCTTACTGACTGCTACAGGATGACACCAAACCTGACAAAGAAAGGGCATGCTTTGACTTTTTGTGTCTAAAATGTGCAGAATGTGTTGAAAATACTTTTAATAAATCTTTAACAAAAATATTGAGATTCCAGACAAAGACCAGAAAGGCTCAAGTATCCAGCTTCAATTTTAAGACAGAAAAAAACATTTTGGCCAATTACAGCTTTATTGTGTCTGCCATCAGAAGAGTAAGACACAACCTCACTGCTCATTTTTCTAGATGGACAGACTGAAGGAAGAGTTAACCCCTTGAATTCAAACCATCCATGACATAAGAATAGTTAGGCAATGAGTCACATTCACAGATACAATACAGATGTCTTCCACGTTCTCCACATTAGTATTACAGCAGCCTGAGTCAACTGTAAAGCATCATAATTAATTTTAATACCAGAAATAGTGCAGCAGCATTTATAGAAAGTAACCAACTACAGCTGGTCCTACAGCAATCTGCATTACTCTGTAGACATAAGAAAGGTATACATAAAGTAAAAATGCATCCTATAAAGTAACTGCAAAAATATCCCCTTGATGTGTAACTAGTAATCCTGAAGTGAGAATACCTCAGAGTCTACAAATGAGATAATATTGCTCAACAGTCCTGGGAAAAACACAGCCATGTTTTGCTGAACAAACAGCCCCAACCCAGAAAGAACAGTATGACCTAACCAGCTCCTCCAGCTGACTTGGCTCATTAAGACAGGTATTTTGCTAGTTTCAAGTGCGGTATACACACACAGAAAAATGCTCATGGCCAGCTGGTATCAACATGACATTATTTTCCTTCTTCCACCACATGAAAAATGTGTTTAATGTCTGAAGACATGCAAAACACCTTAACCTTGGAAGGAAGAAAACAACACAAACTATTTGACTTAATAAAGGAGTGATGTAGTCTAGATATAATTGCAGCAATTTTGTTATGTCTGACTAGAAGTCTAAGGCCTATTTTTATTTTTAAACAATAACATTCCTTGCCTGCAACCTCTCTGTGGTTCAAAAAAGTCTGCACAAAAACAGTGCAAAACAATCTTGTATCACAGGCACAAAAGAGACTGGTAGATTAAACCGCATATCCTCTTCTCAGACCACCCTAGAGCATACTAGCTGCAATATGCCTCTAAAGTATCAAAATATATACTTTCAAAAGCTAGGTAAAGAGATCAGAAGAAGTAGGTAGATAAATGTGGGGTTTTGTTCTACTGGCAGTGGGTCATGGCAATAGGCATCACGGACAGCTATTTATAGCCAGGATGGGCTCAGATCTCTCTGTCGCTGACTGGGGGACAGGATGGATCTGAAAGACGGAAGAGCAAGATACAGCGGCCCAGGAAATGCCATATCTTGACCATTCTCCCCTTGTGGACAATGCTTACCCCATCCTCATCTTCAAATGTGGAGTACTGTGTGTTGTGCTGATAAAAGGACAAAAGGATTCACGAATCCTTACTAAAACTTTTGGATAGACAGCAAGATGAGAGAAACAAATTCCTACAAAATTTTGTTGACTCTTTACAAAAGCATTTACAAGATTTGGCTGATCCCTTACAAAAATGTCTAGATAGAGAGCAAAACCCAGGTCCCTCACCCAGAGGGCTGCCTACTGGGCAAGGGGTTTATCTCCCCGGGAAAGGGGAGACCCCATAAGTATCCTCATGTCAAGTGGGGGGCCTCCAACAGAAAATATTCAGAAGATTAATTGTCTTCAACTAATGCATGACTGCCAGTTAGTGCAGCATTAGCTATCCCCCCTGCACTTGATCACTAACGCCGATTTTACGACTCTACTCATTTGGTGACTATCAAATTCCTTAAAAATGTATGCGATTCAGTTGCAAGACCAATTGTAAAGATGCACTAACCCTTCAGGGAAGACCACTGATGTGGGGAGAGGTGGCCTAGGAATTGATGAATTATGGGAGGAGAATGGGTGTTAGCCTCAATACAGAGAGACAAAAGCCTGCAGTTAGACGAATGGAGCAAGAGAAAGAAAAATCACCCCCTTTATATAAAATTCCTAGGTCAGGGAAGGAGTTTGAAACTCGTCCAAATACACTATGGGCTGAAGGAAGAAAATAGGAGATCTCTTCTAGGAGCTGATGGATGGATTGCCCACTGCTACTCTCAAAAAACTGGTACACAAGTGGCTGGGAGGACAGAAGAACACCAAAAGAGTTGGGATCTCTTCCCTTGAGTGGGACAAAGTCCTGAGGGCCCTCAGGCTGTTCCAGCTACTCCCTCAGCTCCAGCTGGAGATCTGGTTAGCCTATAATTGGGAAACTCCTCTAGACGTTCTCAAAAAGTGAACTGGAGGATAGCCAGTGGAGATATTTAGGAAGGCTCACTGAAAACCCACAGGGTGATTTGATTCAGAAGCAACAGCAAAAAAAGCCAGCTGTGAAAAAGGGAGAGGTTGTAGAAGGGCAGGCAGAGATAACAGAAGGGCAGGCATAAACAGCAGAAGCACAGGCACCAACTGCTGTGGAGCAAAAAGAAGCTGCAGAAAGGGAAGCCCAGGGATACTGGGAACCAGGGGTTTTCCTACTGGTAAATGACTGTTGTGAACCCTGGTTCATCACCCTGAAGGCTGACTATTGGTCAGGGGGTTTGGATCCCCTGGAGAGGGAAAGCAGGCTTCCAGAGAAGGTGTTGCTTGTTGCTGAGCACGATTAGGAAAAGGCAAAGAGGCTGCAGGCAGAGGGCCTGCTTGCTGCCAAGCATGATCATATTAAAAGGCTTTAGGCAGAGCTTTGGGACGTGTATGAGAGAAAGAGAATCTAACTGGAAGAACTGCAGGATGTAGAATCTGGACCCCTAATTAAAACTGAAACCACAGATAATGGTCATGGTCAGCCAACTCCTACCAAAACAGTGTCATACACCGAACTGAGATACCAAAGTTATTGCCAGATAGTTAGATGAGGAGATGGGAG